AAAAATTGAAAGCCCTTGGAACCAGGGTGTGACACACACACACACACACTTTGGAGAAACGCATTCGTTGTTCTCCAAGCCACAGCCAACCCACTCAGACTCATCTTTGTTCGCCAACTTTGCATCAGAGTCCCCCTTTTGCTCCTCGCATTGGCGCTCTTTGCTGCGTTAGATGCTGGCCCTTCACAGTGTCCATACCAACTTACAGTTTGCGCCAGCAACGTCTCTTCATTTCGTTTCCACCCCGGAGTCCTCGGTTTCACTTTCGTACGAAAACTTGCGATTTGTTTTGACTATGATTTGTGCAGACATTCATGAGTGATGTGTTTTGTGATGTGCTCTGTCGGTGAAAGCTTGCGAAAGTGGTTTTGCTCAACATGCGAAAGCCAAACCGCAAGTTGCGAAAGTGTTGCGAAAGGAACTTGCGAAAGAATAGCCGATTATTGGAACAAATGTTCGATGGATTTTGCGCAATTCTCACATGTGCTTTCGTGACTAAGGTACCAGCAGTCAGAGAGACACCCTTTGTTTGGCCTGGACCTTTGGGCTGGCAGGCTTTGTTTGGTCGGCCAATCCCACATGGCAAAGCAGCAGCAGAGGTGTCAATGTCGGCCTTTTATCGTACACTTGACCTGGAAGGGTTTCCCACTTGGGTTGCGCTTTGGACTTAGCTACTTATAAGTTACTTACGTCGAACTTATCTTACTTATCGATTATATAAGAGATTATAAGAGTTTAAGTAGCTTGTAAGTAGCGCGTAAGTAGCTGGTAAGTAGACATGGTGTTTTTTTCAAACATTGTTCGTTGTAAAGAAACCTGCAAAAACTATGTCTTTTCACCCCAGCAGCCACAAATCTTGGCCGTCTTTGCGGCAAAACAGAACTGAATCCTTCGTTTGAAGGGCCATATGCACCGGCAGCATTTCATGACTGGCATCTTGGTTCTTCCAGCGGCTCAGTCCGAATGCGTGAAGACCATCTTGGTTGGAGGACAACCTTTTCACAAGCAAGTGGAAGCAGCCATCGTGACGACACGCGCCCAGGACTTCGACAGCGTGGTGGGTGTTCACAATTAAGAACTGGCCCCTCTGAAAATCTCTTTCAGCGCACTGTAAGCGGAAAAAGATATCTTTGTCTACGCCCGCGATACACAGACGCTTTCCGGCCAAGGTCGTGTGCAAGGTCCCAGCATCGGTGCCATCCAGCTCACGCACAGCCAGCTGCAAAAGAGCAATGGACACGAAATCCACCCTCCTCGTGCAATTAGCTGCGTACTGCTTGTAGTTCCGGTGCTTACGCTCAGGGCAGAAACAGTCCAGCAACTTCCCCCAGCGCTCGACTTGGCCGGTTACATGCAGACTATAGTGCAGCTTCGGTCGGCAGCGGTCTGCGCCATATATTCGGAGGAAAAGATGGAAATGTTTGTACTGCAGAGCCTGCAGCTCGCCCCGCTGTGCTGGATGGCTCCGACACTGGATCACCTGCTTGCACACCGCATGCAACGCGTCGAGGCATTTTATCTCCTCGACCATGTCGTCGGTAGTGGCCACCAGAACCTCCCACGAAAAGGCCACACAGAGAGGTAATGCCGCCAAGCACTGTGCGGCGTCACCCTTGAAGTCGGATCCATCTTTGAATAGCTTCTCAGAAACGCAGGCGGCTGCGCTGCCACAGGAGATGGGGCTACCGGGCATGGGGCGCCACATGCGAGCGTAGCGACCCAACGCTGACAAACAATCTTTGTTAGTACGTTGCACGCTAGAGAACCACAAACCAAGCTGTTGTGCAACTAAACCGTTTGAGAAATAGATATGCATCGGATCATAGTGGATGCTCTCCACTGGACACCATCCAGACACCTTTGGAGACATGAGGAAAGAATTGTCCAGCTCAGCCAACTTCCATCCCAACAGTGTTTCGTGTTGTTTGAGTCTGGACACAACCGTTTGCTCCGCAAGGTGCGCGTGGATTGCCTCGAGGTCGGTCTGACGGAGTGGGATGGAATCAGTCAATTCATCGGTCACAGTCAGGTATCCTGGAGGCAATCGGCGCCCAGGTGTTACCACGTTCATGCATTTCAAACATGGTTTTAGGCCATTGGGCCCTTTCCAACCCGATGCATTCCGCAACTGATCTGCGTCTCCCAGCAGGATGACTTCCGAAATAAACACCAGAGTACTATTGCCCTCAATAGTAACTGGAAACCCACTCTGAGTCTCTTCCCACATACATTCCATCCACGCACGCACGACAGCGGGACATCTCCCCTGACATGCGTTCATGTCATCGTGCCGCACCAACCCGATTGTCAACCACATGCATTCCCTTCGAATACAATCCATCTCCAAGAAGGTGACATACCCTATCATGGCCTTCCGCGCCGGGTCCGCGCGTAACGGGTTGCCGGCAACAATTTCATCCAAGTAGAAAATCATACGAAGCTCATTGTTGTTACCCTGCATGGCTTTTTGGAAGGCCACGCGGAAAACCTCGCAGGAATCAAGTTTTCCTTGGACCATGCTGGGAACGGACAAACACGGCGCTTTAATCTGCGCATCATCGACAGTGGGCAAATAGATATCGCGGCAGGCCTCAAGTAAGGCCTCGCCATACTTTTGCTGCTTCCTGGTGCAGGTTCGTCGGCCTCTTTGGTCTTTGTTCAAGAGCCCGATGATCTGTCTACGCTGCGCATCAGTCAAAGATCTGATCTGGCGCAGTGCAGAAAACTGCTGCGCCGGTGTGTCCTTCGCATGTAGCCGTCTTCTCTTTGTGCTTTGCGCCGTTGTCTCATTCATACTTTGAGCCGGATGCATCTGCGGAAATGCTACATGTCGTCCAATGTAAAGGATATACTAGATCACTTTATATCAAATCCATCTCACATATACTACCTTCTTTTTTCGTCCACATGATGCAGCGAGTATGTCGAGTTAATTGTGTGCAGCAGTATATGAATTGCTCAGTGGAGTTCAAGTGCCAGGGCCAGGTGCGAGTTCAACTCGCTTGCCCCACGTCACTGTGCGCGACTGCCACGCGATTGTGGACTCGCATGTGCTCCCACGCGCACTGCCTGCTGCGCTTGCCCTCTGGCTCTTTCGGATGGGCTGCGTCTGGCAATGGACTCGCAGGGCGGCGTCTCGAACCGGAAGACTCAGAGGCTTCTGCGCGCCGAGACTCTGACATCTTCTGCGGTGGACTCTCTTCCACCCACATGGGAGACACTTCTGACGGTCCAGGAGATTTGTCTAGTACGGTTGCAGCCACCTCCTGGCGCGTGTCCACTGCCTTTCTATCGGCTTCAGGACTACTTGAGACTTCGATGGCATGCCTGTCTTTTGAAAACAGACAATCGAGCCGATAGTGGTAGCCAATGTCATGGCGACCAGTCCACAGGTGCACTTTGTCAGGTCCCATTCGCATAGCTCGGATCCAGTTGGTGCTATTCAGTAAAGCTTTCACTTCTCGGTCCTTCATGTCTCAAACAACCGCCTTGAGCCCAAAAAAACTACCTTTGGAAAAGCATGTCTGTCCGTCTTAAAAAAAAATCTGCCACAAACGCAGGCCAGCGTAAGCTAAATCCTTTTTGCACCCCGCAAGTATTGGCACATTGAGAGCTGTTCCAAAAGTCTACTGATGCCTATACTCAGTTGACGTCCTTGCTCTTTCCCGTGCGTCGGCGCTTGACAGAGGCCGCGGCACCCCCTGCACTGGCCTTTGCCCGAGGAGTCGGTTTTGGTGCCATGGCACGCCAGGACTTTTGCAAGAACTGTACTTGCCCTGCCTTTGTCTTCACGTCTTCTTGACGAAAAGGCAGCGGATTCAATGCCTGCGGTTCCACAGAGTTCTTTTGGTCTTCGTAGGCCTGAAGGGTCTTGCGCGCAGCAGCAGACCACTCCAGGATCGTGGCTTTGGTCTCCACCAAAGTCTTCTGCAAGCCCTCATATCCGTCAACGTCTCTCAACTGATGCAGCTTGGGCTCTAACTTCTCTAAAGAAGTCAATGCAGACGTGAGACCTGGCATACATTTGGCAGCTAACGCATTTTCCTTTGCGTTTTCACGCGCTGTCTTCTTGGCCGTCACCTCAGGCTTCGTGTCCGTGTTAGTCCCCTTGCCAGACATATCTTTGTCAGGCACGTCCATGGCAGCATCTCCCTCGGTCATGCCCTTCTTGCCTTTCCGCTTCGGCGCAGCTGCATGCGCATCGCGTTCATGTTGAAGCACACGTTCTTCCGTCTTCTTATATGTCTCAGACCAGGTCAAGCTTTTGACTGGAATCTGATATGTGTAGCAGTCCAAAGCCTCGTTCCATTCTTTGGCTTGCTTCTCCACTAGCGCTGCCTCCCAGCCTTGGGCCACCCAGACGGACAGAGGCAAGAACTTGCCTTCAACTTCCTGCTTGTAAGACCGGATCTGCGTGGTCGTCAAAGACGAAATCAAACAAGCCCGCACCGTGGTCCAAGCAAGCGAAGCATCGGCGCGCCGCTCGCGATGCAGCTGTTGAAAGAAGGTATGGGTATCTGCCTGCGTCATACCCTTGAGTTCCTCTGGCAGTTCCCCCAGATGTCTGCGCAACTGTTTCTCCGCAGAAGCGCAGACATGACACTGGAAGGTGGGGCCACGCAGGCGCCCGTGCTCCAAGGCAAAATCTTGCCCACAAGACTTGCACTGGTGTTTGGCAGCTGCCTCAGCCATGACGTCCAGTTGGAAATGTGCAGCTGTCGGCCAGAAATGGAACCAAGAAAATGTCTGCGGATGTCAAAGCAGAGATAGTGCGACATTAGCAACAAACAGGAAGGTAGTCCACAACAGACCCATCAAAACAGACGTTCCTGCACATCTATCCACAACAGACCTCTCAAAAAAAACAAAAAACACGAACGATAGCGCGGACATCCGCGGACACATGTTTTTTTGGTCGCGGACATCTGTCTTCCGCGGACATCAGACCATGTCTACGTTGACTATAGATCTACAAAGCCCTCTAAGCAAGCGGACATCCGCGGACTTGAGGTCCTCAAGCCCACACATAGACTCCGCGGACATCGGCAGACATCCGCGGACATCACTGCGGAGCACTCTGCAACATTCGGCGTACCGACATCATTACCATCAGACTTGTGTCCAGCCACTCCGCAAAGTCCAAAAGCGCTGCTTCACGTACCAGTGGAAGCAGACACATCAGAAGACTCTCCGCTGCATACATCTCCGCTGCGTGGAGTGCAGCGCAGCGAGTCACACGCGGTTGGTCATCTTTCGGAACCGCACAAGGAATCTTTCTAGACTCGCCTGGGGATAGACATGTCCCGTGTTCTGCCTCCCAGAGCAACGCGGCAGCGCGCGCCAGGTGAATCCGTTGTGTGGGCTCCACACAGGCAGCTGCCATGCGCAAGCACTCACGTAGATTCTCCCACGCATCTGAGTCGCTCAGACGGTGCGGCCAGAGCAGTCTGGCGCGCTCCAGTAAGGGTGCCAGCCGAGAGAAATCAGCTTCGTCGAGAACGAAGTCGGCCACTGTTGAAAGCTACGGAGAGAGAGACGCAATCTGCCCTTTTAAAGACACCTATAGATAAGATGTACAGGGAGGAACCAACCGTTGCTACTGACATATAGTTGAAACAAAAAAAGCCCACTGCGCGTATATCGGACCCTCTTTTTTTTCGTGCCATCCGGAAGACTGCAGTGCGAGGTCTCGCTATACACACACACAGATCACCACCGCATGTTGATGATGACTTGCTGTGAGCCGCGCCGCGGGTGTCTATGGCCCGCTGCTCCGTCGCCATCAGCGTCCGGACTTGGAGAGCGGGGCCAGCGCTTCAGGCGCACAGGTGTGGGTGATGGCGAGGGCGGCAGTCGCTTCTTCTTGGACCTGGAGGTCGCAGCAGAGCGGGCGCTGGGCGCCGGCGAAGGACTGGGTTCTTTTTTCTCGGCAGGTCCCTTCGCCGGTTTCTTTTGCTTGCAGCTGCTCCCACGAGGTTCGCGCTCTTCTGGGTATTTCTCCTTGTCCCGCTGTTGCTTCAACAGCCTGGCGTTGCGCTGCGCCTTGTTCCACCCTGCCGTGTTCTGTTCTTCTTTCGTCATCCGTGAGAACAGCTGCCATGCAATGCAAGCAGCATTGCCGAACTCGTGCTGGTCTCGAGCTGCAGGGCTGCCGTCAAGCCACTTCCAGCAGAAGCGGCACCGCACCTTCTGCTGCTTCGCGTTCTTTCCAGCACCACCAGGGCCGCTTGTGCTCGGCTCCGGGGAGTTTTCTGGCTCTGCCGGACGTTCCGACTTGGCCTGCGAGCGACCTCTAGCGCTGTCCGCTGTAGTCGCTTCTGCCTGTGCCGGAGCACATGGAGAGCGGGCACGTTTTGGGGAGCGACCACGTCCGGCAGAGCGAGCACGCCCAGAGGAGCGGTCACGCGCTGCCTTGCGACGGCTTGGAGACCTGCGCAGGCTTCGCTTGGCGCGGCTCGCAGCCGCCGCGCGTCTCATCGATGAATCCGCAGATGCATCGTCCGAGCCAGAGTATTGGGACTCTTCGCCAGACTTTGGTGTCATGTTGTCCTGCAGGGCACGTTCAAGTTCTGAGTCGCAAATATGTATACATTGTGTGTATATGTGTGCATGTGTGTACATGTGTGTACATATATGCACCTTGTTATATATATGTATATAAATAGACATCTATGTAGACAGAGGAAAGAAACATACACCGCGCAGGTGACCGCGCTGTTCCTTTGTATTCCTTTGTACAACCCACCCGCAAGTGGAGCTGCAGGGCAGCCACCGCGCAGCTGACTGCACTGTCTGTTCGTGCACCACCCGCAAGTGGTGCACAGGGTGTTGTCACCGCGCAGGTAACAGACACCATCGATGAACTCACCACCCGCAGGTGACGAGAGCCGAACGGGTGTGACACCACTCAGGTGCTACACACTATAGCGAATGATTTGCCACCCGCAGGTGGCAAGATCAAGGAGTGTGGCCACCACGCAGGTGACGCACAAACCGACGGACCTGGAGTCGCCACCCGCAGGTGACGAGAGTATAACGAGCGTGCCACCACTCAGGTGCAACACACCAGCGAAGGATCTGCCACCCGCAGGTGACAAGAACAAGGAGTGTGGCCACCACGCAGGTGACACACACCAATATAGAGTCGCCACCCGCAAGTGGCGATATCAAGAGCGACAGCCACCCGCGAGTGACCATGTCGGTGCCACCACGCAGGTGACAGACATCACTTGACTCGCCGCCCGCAAGTGACCATATATATAGACACATATACACACAGCTAGAGAGATACGCAGACTCCCGACGCACGCGCCGTGACGCGCGAGGGAATCACATATATGTATACCCTGTCATATAAGGTATATGTGAAACAAAAACTGGCAGATATATTATGTCATGTATATATGCGTCTCCGATCGAAACTGACCCGCCTGACAGTGCGGAAGGGACACCGGGCGCAAATGGCTGCAGTCCTCTGTTGCCTGTGAGCCATCGGACAACACCAGAGTGACACTGTAAAGCAATTCTTCTTCGGTGTATGTGTATGACGCGCGTAGACCCGAACTTAGATTATCGTTTCCTCTGCGCATGTGTGGGAGCAAAGAACAACTCTCACAAACCTTTTTCTCTATAAATGCAGAGCCACGCATGGTAGTGTACGCACAGATCAGGCGCAGATCACGCGCGAGCTGCGTCCCAAGCCGCAGAGGCTTCGCGCAGAGCCTTCCGAGCAGCTTCCAAGGCTGCGCGGTCACTTCCTCCATTTCGCTGCACCTGCTTCTTCGCCGCGTGGTAGGCCCGAGATGTGAATTTCTTGCGTGTGTCGCCTTTCATTCCAGCAGCTGCAGGTTTGCGAAAGACAGCCGAGTGTCGAGAGGGCCGTTTCGGAGACTGCGGCTCGCTCCTGCTGGCCGGGCGCTTCTGTGCAGGGCGTCGACTGGCCGGTCGCTTCGCCACGTGAGCCTGCTCGCGCCAATCCGACTGCAGCTCGCGCAATTGCTGCTGCACTGATAATGGTGCAGTGGCTCTTGCGCGGGCACTTCCTGCCTGCTGTGCCGGTGGCGCAGCCTCATCCGCGGCCGCCTTTGCTGGCGCAGAGCTTTCTTCCACCGTGCCATCCTCGAGGGCCAGGATGGCGTCCGTTGCGGGCGGGGGATTGGTCTTCTTAGACCACATGGCCTGCGCCATGGCCTGCGCATCCTGCGCCAGCTTCACACTTGATTCCACCGCATCAGCCATCCGACCCAGGGCACCCACATCCGGGCCTGCAGCGCTTGAAATCTGCAGCGCTCCATCAGCTGCTAAACGGTTGGAAGTACGCACTGGCCACGTCGTCGCTAAGCGGTAAAAATCCAAATGGCTCGGAGGCGGTGGAAGCGGCTGCTGCCCCGAAGGAAAGGCCTTCCGTCGCAACTCCTCCGGAATGGAGTCCCAGTTCCCAGGCAATGCGTCTAAGTAAACAGCCGGCTTCTGCCCCTGAAGCCACTTCCGGATGATGGGCTTTTTGGTTTCCACCAACCGATGTTTAGCGTTCCCAGACATTGCCATGACTTCTCGTTGGTATGCCAGGGCACACAGAAGAGCTAGCGTTGGTTCCGATGGCAAACGTAGGCCGAGGTTAAAGGCGTGACAGCGCAACTTTTCCAACACCACGGCCGGATCGCACTTCGCATCCAGAGTTTCTCGCCATAGCCATTCGGGGATGAACTGTGGTAGACTGAGGAAGTCCTGGTTCTGCCGCCGGCCACTCACAGTCTCCGGCTCTGCCACATCCGTTCTCTCAGCCACCCGTGCCCGGATAGCGGCCAGCGAACTCTCGTCCCACAAAGTAACATCCAACGCGGCCAAAATGTCGGCCGATTGCTTTGTCGAAAACTCAGAGATCTTCTCTAAGCTCTTCGTCAGCTTGGTCAGTTGACGCGCCGACGCATCGGCATACGTCGGTAATGTGGTCAAACCCGCCAAGAATCTCTGCGCCGCCACTAAATGCTTCTCAAACGCAGCTGCCATGACCCCTCTAGGCTTTTTCTGTGGTCTATCTCCAAAACTTTGAGCCAACAAAACATATACACAAAATGCGCATTCTTCGAACGAGAAAACCTATTCCAATCACTGCCAGCGGCATGGTTGTACAAAAAGTCCTACTTTGTAAGTAGGTTATAAGTAGATCGTAAGTAAGTCATAAGTCGTCGCAACATATCTGTATGTCTACTTATAAGTAGCGCCTAAGTAGCCAAGTTCTAGATAAGTAGCGCAAAAACACATGTCTACTTATGATCCACTTAGCCACTTAAGTTGAACTTACCCTGCCGTAAGTAGACTTAATGTAAACTTTAAGTATACTTAAACTAGCTAAGTCCAAAGCGCGACCCAAGCAGGGACACTGCGTCAAGTGATTAAATGAACGAGGAAAACAAATTTTAAAGAACCCTTATTAACGAGACTAATTTTGTATGTTCCTTTTACTGCACCTGTTTCTGTTATATAATTGACATTTCCACAATCAATTTCAACTTGACTTCAATGATTCTGTTTCTTCCAAGGCCAGGCTAGCTGAACATCCTTGTCTCTACACTGGTGACCTGGTTCTGACATGTCCAAGGCCTGAGAATTGATGTATTGTGTTTTGAGTCTTGGATAAAAAGACCGTGGCATAAGGGGCAACACCGTGAAACGCGAATCCGTGCTTGCGCACAGGGCTCAGCTGCAGCTTCAGCGCAACCCTGATTTTGGTTCAAAGCTGAGGAACGGTGATTATCAAACCAAGCCCAAACCTCAGAGCTTGGATAGATTTTTCTCAAAGTGGAGGAACTGTGGTATCCTGGCAAGGTTTTTGCAGAGGTGCTACTTTGCTTTTTGAGGTGCAGAATTTGTGGCTGGGGAGGGACAGAATGGCAAGATGTAGATACGGTTGCAGGCTGGAATTGTAGAACTGAAAATGCATTCAGAAAAGAAAAGACAAGAACTGGAAGACAGAAAGGTGTAATATCGTTTGCTATTAGGTTGGAGGCCATTGCTATTAGAAACTGTAAAGCAGTTACCAGTGTTGTGGTTTACCCGCAACATACAGGTTCAAGACTCGTCCACGCAGACGAAAACCGGGCGGTCGCACGTTCGTTCACGTGTTTTCATGGTAGCGGAGCCGACCCGGGGGGCTCAATAAATATACCCCGGGAGAAGAAGAAAGATCCAGGGAAGTGAAGAAGAAGTGAAGAAGAAAAGAAGGTGAAAAGAAGAAGAAAAGAAGAAATGGATGAACAGGTGGCAAAAGCATTGGTGGCCGCTAGCCAGCAGTCAGCCGCGATGGCCCAGGAGGCGGTCAAGACGCTGAAAGAGATGAAAGAAGGAAAGAAAAGCGGCGAAGGATTCGCTGCGGCAAGCAAGGTGGTGAGATCTCCTGAGGTCTTTGAGCCAAAGAACATGGAAGAAGAGCTGTCCCAATGGCAAGACTGGCGATTAGCCTTCAAGAGCTGGATCACTTTCGCCGAAGAAGCCTACAACAAGGAGCTGGACACGATTGAGGGCTCAGAGAGCGAGGTAAAGCTCTCCAGCATGACAGCAGAAGAGAAAGGAAGGTCAGAGAAGCTCTATGCCATTTTGGTTGGGCTGCTACGGAATAGGCCTCTCAAGTTGCTGAGGGCAGTTGAAGGCCGCAATGGCTATGAGGTGTGGAGGCAGCTGAGTCTCCAAAGACGAGATCGAGGTCGATCGCTTTGCTGCAAGCCTTCCTCAACTACCCCAACTTCGGGGATGACCATGCTAGAGCAGTTGCTTGGTCTGGAGAGGTTGGCTGAAGAGTATGGCAAGGTGGCCAAGGAGGAGATTGGTGACAACACCAAGTTGAGCGTGCTGTTGAGTGTGATGCCAGCTGCAGTCAGACAGCATTTGCAGTTGCAGATGACGGAGGACACGTCCTACAAGGAGGCCAGAGAGAAGATGCTGGCCTATGAGCGAACCACCACTTCATGGGGGAGCCAGGCAATCTACAAGGAACTGGCCATCACCAAGGACCACGACAGGCACGATAGGGACGATGAGGTGATCCCCATGGATGTTGATAGAGTGAAAGGTAAAGAGAAAGGGAAAAGAAAAAGAAAGGACAAAGGCGGCAAGTCCAAGGGCAAGCAGAAAGGAAAAGGTTTTGGCAGTTACGCCAAGGGCAAGGGCAAGCAGTACAAAGGAAAGGATGGCAAAGGCAAAGATGCCAAAGGAAAGGGCAAGGGTGTATCTGCAGACACCTGCAAGCTCTGTGGCGGAAAAGGCCATTGGAGCAAGGAATGTCCAATGAGGGCATTGAGACAAGTCAGTGAGACATCTTCCACTGTCACGACTTCAGTGGGAGACAGCGCAAGTGTTGCCCAGGCATCAGGTACGACGCCATCAACAAGCTCGAAGAATGTCAGAAGGGTCGAGACGGTGATCCGATGAGGATGAAGAGGACAATGCAGTTGGGCGTGTCCGGATGGTGGGGACTGAGACCTATGACCTCACCTACAGCGACAATGATGAAGATTGGATCATGTTCAAAGATCCAAGTGAAGGCGAAGGAGAAGCTCATTTTGTGGGTTTTGAGGATTTGGTCGATGGTGGAGGTTCGAGGCCCCACAGGAAGGGATGCAACAAAGTTGACTTTGTTCGCACGGTCGCTGGAGAAGATGGAACAATGGTGATCCTCGACTCAGGTGCTGACATCTCGGTGCTCCCCATGAGCTACTGAGATGTGGGATTCCCGATTGGCCGGGTGACCTCGTTGAGAGATGCTCAAGGAGGAAAGATGACGAATGGCGGCATGCGCCAAGCCATGATCGAGCTTGAGGATGAAGACGGCCAGTTGGTCGAGCTAAGGGAGAGTTTTGCCCTGTCCAATGTCAAGGAACCACTACTTGCATTGGGCAAGCTGATGCGCGTGATCTCGATGGACTTCTGTTTCAGCCGAGGCGATGATGAGGTGGATGTCGAAGTGAAAGAGGACCTGCGCATTTACCAAGGTGATTTGAGAGGAGGAACATGCCTGGTGTGACAGATGATTGGTCACATGCAGTTTTGTGTGTGCCAACACCAGGGAAAGGCAGGGCCCATCTGAAGTTCATGGCTGAGCAGGTGATGAGGTTCATTGGGAGCTTGGGGTACTCACGAGTAATCCTCAAGGGAGATGGAGAACCCTCGATGAGAATGTTGTTGGAGGTACTTCAGCAAGCAAGGTTGAGATTGGGATTCCACACAAACATTGAGATCAGTGAGTGGCCCAGCAGATTCACAGGCCAATGGTCGTGTGGAGAGAGAGATCCAGACGGTGAGAGGCATGGCGAGGACCTTGGTGCATGGTGTCAAAGAAGGCTGTCAGATGCACATCAAGCCATCTTCGCCGGTGTTGCTTTGGGCTATGCGCCATGCTGGACGGTTGTTGACACACTACAGAAGACAAGGAGGTGGACCAACAGCCTATGAGACCGGACAGGAAGAAAGTACTGTGGCAAAGTTGCAGTCTTTGGTGAGCGTGTGTTGGCAAGGGTGAAGAGAGCCAACGGCAGTGACAAGTTTTGAACCGGGCTTATGGCTTGGGAAGACAGACAGAGCAGATTTCCACATGGTAGCAACAGCTGCAGGCTTGAAGTGGACAAGAACCATCAGACGGCTACCGACTCCTTTTGACCCTGAGGCCGTGACGTATGTGAAGTTCTGGCCATCATGGAACATTGGGTTTGGACAGATTGGCGCCAAAGCTTCTTCGCTGGTAGGCAAATTTCCTACGGTCCCATTGCCTCCAGATCTCCCCCCAGGAATTCGAGCAGAGGAGAAGAAGTTGGCTAAGGAGGAGAGAACAAAGAAGAAAGAAGATGAGGCGAGGCTGAGGGGTGAAGAAGGACGAGGAGAGAAGAGACAGGCAGGGGCAGATGAAGAAAGCAGCAAAGGAGATGATCCAGACATGAGTGATTACACTCCGACGCAACCAGATGAAGAAAAGGATGAAAGAGGTCTGGTGATTACAGATGACACGTTGCTGCAAGACCTGCTTGATAGTTTGGAGGAGCCTATGGTTGAGAGCGAGGTTGACAAAGCGCCAGTCCAAGAAGAAGCCCCATGGATAGTCCAAAGAGGTCAGGTGGAGAAGGAGATGTGGAGGATGAAATGCCAAAGTGGCAAGGTCTGCGCCGAAGAAGATGTTGAAGACCAAATCAAGTTCAGAGAAGGATGAACCGGAACCAGCATCAGCTTCGACAATTCGCATGGAGGTTGCTGGAGAAATGCTGTATGATGGAGATGAGAGTTTGGAGTTTCCAGATCAACCTCCAGAGTTGCCAGAGGCGGAGATTGAAGATGAAGCCACAAAGGAAGAGATTCAGAGGCTGATTGGCGTGACAGTTTTACTGCCACCAGGAAAGAACGATGACTTGGAAGACATTCCATTGCTCACAACAAAGTTGGTGATGGATTGGCGGCGGCGAGAAAACAGGTGGAAGAGAAGGCAAGATTGGTTGCACAATTTTGCCTGGTGTGATCCTAGACGTCTTTGCACCAGCGGGAGGACATTCACTCCTGAGATTGGTCCCAGCCATTTGTCAAGTCAAAGGCTGGAAGATGATCACTTTGGACGGCAAGGACGCCTATTTGATGTGTGCGCAGCCACGAAAGGTGAAAGTTAGCCTAGACAAGGCATTGGCAGAAAGACTTGGACTCCAGCAGGAATGGATTCTTGGCCGGATCCTTCCAGGACAACGAGAAGGTGCAGCACAATGGTTTCAAGAACTGAGGAAAAGCCTGATGGAGGCAGGGCTCACGCCATGTGCTGAAGCGCCCACTTTGTGGAAAGGGCAAGATGTGATCTTGCTAGTCCATGTCAACGACATGATCCTCGGAGGAGAAGAGAAAGAGGTGGCCAGGGTGACTGACCATCTCATGAAGCGCTACAAGGTGTCTGTGGAGGATGACCAAGTGCTGAGTTTCTTGAAGAGGACTTTGATGGTGGATGCCTCAGAAACCAAGATGATGGTGAATGAGAAGTACATCCACAACCTTGTGAAGATGATGAGTGTCTTGAAGAGATCGAGAACTCCAGGAGCCGGAATTGAGGATGGAAAGACCATGGAGGAGGACGACTGGAGGGAAGCCAATGTACAGGTCAGCAGTTGGAACATTGATGTACATGGCCGGACGACTCCAAAGTCCGACAGAAGGTGCATGGAAGGCTCTTGAGAAGTTGGTTGGCTATTTGGCTACAACCATGGACATGCATTTGATGATGAGAAGTCAGACGAAGAGCAACTCGTTCAGGAACAGAACACGAGGTCTGACAACAGCGCCCAAGGGTGAAGAAGCTGTACACACGTGGTTGCTGGAAGTGGCCTGCGAGTCAGACTGGTCAGGAAACAAGCAGACACGAAGCTCGACATCAGCAGGATGTGTTTTCTTGGCAGGCAATTGGATTCATTCCTATGCCAGAACCCAGAAGAACATCAGGTTGTCAAGCACGGAGGCAGAGTATGTTGCCTTGGTGTCGGGAGCTTCAGAAGGTTTGTTGCTGAAAGCTGCAGTCGAACACCTTACAGGTGAGCAGGTGAAGTTGGTCATCTATGGCGACAACAATTCGAGCATAGCAATCGCTCAGAAAGAAGGTGTTGGAAAGTTGAAGCACCTAAGTGGCCGACTACTATGGCTCCAGCAGAGACAGAGCAAAGATTTAGATTTGCGGAAATTGGATACGGCTACAAACCCATCTGACATAGGCGCCAAGACGCTTGGAGGCAAGCGCATCAACCTTTTGATGTACATCATGGGCTTTACAGACTCCTCACAGCAGCTTGGCAAGACAGAGTTCGAAGCAGAGAGAGCAAAGGCTGAGCAGAAGAGGAGGTTGCAAGAAGTGAGGAGGATGGTGTTTACAGCAGAAGGGACACCAGAGAAGAGCACCCAAGCGAACCAGCTGGCAAAGAGATTGTTGAGGCTCACGATGACGGCGTTGCTAGCAGTTTCAACCTTGGGCCTGGCGACGGCAGAAGATCAGCAGTGCTTTCCAGAGGATGAGCCGCAGAAGCAGTCAGAGGGATTGCTTGGGAGAAGGGAGACAGGAAGTGAGATGCTTGAGCAAGTGCTGATGGGATTGACAATCGAGATTGTGATCTTGAGCATTGCAATCCTGATCTTGCTGAAAGCCTTGAAGAATACAGCAAGAGAGCTGAGGAGGCATGTGACGTCATGGCAAGCGCTGAGGAGTGCAGTCGGAGGTGACGAGACCTACACCTCAGATGAAGAGCAAGAGAGGATTGGTTTGAGCACGTGGAACGCTCCAAGGAGATGGCCGGAGAACCAAGGAAACACAGAATGGCAGAATTGGTCAAATTGGCCATCAGGGCACAGGACCAGGCACGAAAATGATGAGACAAGCGAAGAACCTGAAGGCAGACAGTGGGTTCAATGGGCAGGAAGCTCTGGATTAACTTTCAGAGACGTGGTTGGCCCGCCTTGGGGTGAAGAAATGGAAGAAGAAGCACAAGTACAGGATGGTGAAGTGAGAGTAAGCTCTTACATCGACGATGAGGGCTATGCGCACGAGACAGAAGTGCGTGTGAGAACGGTGAGAGTTGAGACAGAGGAGGAAAGAAGGCAGAGAGATGAAGATGAAGAACTTGAGAATAGCCTGACGACAGACTATGGAAGTCTGGAAGGGCACATGGAGCCCGTGGGTGAATACGAACACCTGGAAGATGACGCCTATCAGGCATACAGGCTTGAGCAGATTGAGAATGATGTAGGCATTGAAGTTTACATCATCATGAAGGTGAGACAATTTCGCCAGATGATGGAAGAAGATCCAGCAGATGAAGACATCCGTACGGGATACGAGATGTTCAGAGAGCTCCAAAGGATGCTGATGATCACCGGAGCAGAGACAAGAAAGGAGGTGACTGACTACATTAGAAGCTTGATTGAGGCAGTACACCTACCATGTGAAGAAAGGGCATGCAGATGTGAATTGCCCTTTGGAAGAAAGCGAATGGCCAGATGGCTGGATGGCTGCAAATTGGGGACCACCAAGAATGCTGAGGGAATTCAGAATGCCACCAAGAAGACAACAAAGGAGACGGAGAGATGAAAGCAGCAGCTCTGAAGAGCATGATGCGGCAGCGGCTTTTGAGCTGCAGGATCGAGGTCGTGATGACCCAATGGTCCTTGATGAGCCCGAGCCTGAAATCGAGTAGGTGCATCTGAAAAGATGAACACTGAAGTGGTTTCATGGCGAGGGAACCTTTTGACAAGTCCCTAGCCACGAAAAGGCAGGGTGTAAAGCAGTTACCAGTGTTGTGGTATACCCGCAACATACAGGTTCAAGACTCATCCACGCAGACGAAAACCGGGCGGTCGCACGTTCGTTCACGTGTTTTCAGAAACAAAGAGAACCGATGCCGTTGCAGGCTGAAATTGTAGTCAATCAAAGTCAGGACATTAGACATTCCTGTGTGACTAAGGGAACATGACAGTGAGTGCAGCTCTCAAAATACGATGTAGACTTTCTGCTAAAATGGCAATCAATAATCAGATTGATCACGCCATGTTGTTTAGCATCAAGGTATTTTCTACTTAGCGTGTCCATCTAAGGTCTCGAATTCGGCGCGAATGCGTGGGATGCTCAGATGTTCTTTACTTGTGCTTTGCTTCAAACAGGTTGCGCATCAGGAGTGTGGTTAGAGTGATTCAAGGCTACTTGGCGTCATCAACGAGACAGTTATTTTTGGGTATGGCATTTTCTTGGCAGACAACTGCAGCAGGCATGGGCATTGTGCTTGAAACCCGGATCTTCCCCTTTGCAGATGGAATAAGGCCCATAAAGCGTGATCCTGTGGGATATGTAGAGAAGATGCAGCATCCTTACAGCCTCGGAATTGGTGAAGTCTGGACATGGAGAAGTCTACCACATTTGAACTCAGGGATGATCATCCATTTGATGAGAATTGCTGCAACTCGCTCTGACCTCAGACAATTTCAGTGTTTTTGCACTTCATCGCGCCATCTCCAAGCTGAGAGCAGCACCGTATCCACCCAGCCAGGACGAAGTATAGCACAACTGTCACGTGCTGTCCTTAGTGTATTGGATATATAGCTTTGCAATGGAGGTAACAGCGATTTAATTAGATTTTCCAGTGTTCAGATGTTTGAGAAGCTCTTGAGGTTCTCTGTTCCTCCAGACCTTTACAGCGTCAGGTTGATGGCGGACAGCTCATTTTCGGCTTCTTGTATTGTTTTGAACCCGACACTATGCCATATATTCACCACTTGCGACCAGCAGTCTGAGGTACGCCCAAACACCACATTGGGCTTCTTACCAGTGGGCGAAGTTACTACTGCATGGGCCTCAAGAGCTGGCCAAGACTTGCCAAGATACAGATTCTGACAGAATTTGTGTGTCCACCAAAAAGATGAGATAAAGTCATTTGTCCGCTTTGGTGGGAGGAGATTTGGGATGCAAACCAGACGAAAGCAAGTCTTTCCAGCGCCAACAGGCAGCTGTGTCGCAGTGCGAACGTTGGTGTTTCAGAGTTTTCGCGAGCCGCTACTTATCCAACACAATTTTTGTTGATTCTTCATTTTTTCTAATTGTATATATAGTTGTTTAATTTACGATATCAATATATATATATATTAAGCTGACGCATTTTGCATGAACACAACGGTATGCTCAAGATGGCATGAATGTTTTAAGTCTTTACGAGGAGCCTTGCTTTAGACACTTTAAAAGCGATTTCATTGCCAATCTCTTGAAAGCTCTTTTGGGCAGTTGTTGCAACAGATACGCAAAAAGAGGTATATAAATATTTAAATAGGTATGAACTAGGCTGAATTTAAGAAGGCATGATTTGTTGCCTTTTAGTTTAGGACAACGGCAGCATTCTGCACTTTGATTTGAGTTCAGTTCGTCTCTCACCAATCAAAAGTGGTGTATCGGCAAGTTCCGTTCAAAAGTGACAGTGGCATGGTGGCACATGCGCCACCCCAGCACAGTGTGCCATAGACTACATTGGAATTGATCTACTGTAAAGGTGTGTGCAAGGGGTTTTATATCGTGGCAGTATACTGTGTTTTTTCGCGATTTGAAAGACTTATCGAAGGTATTCCTTTTCCCGAGAGCGCCTGAGCGAAGGGTTCTTCTTAAAGAAGCAGGTGCACTACGTATCATATCTTACATTTGCACATATCCAGAGTTGCGTACTCCACACCAGCGCAGTGTCACATTTTTAGATCTCACGTCTTGACATCCATGCATATCCAGACATGCACATCTTCACATCTGCACCCCTCTCTCTCTCTCTCTCCCTCTCTCTCTCTCTCTTATCTATCTATCTGTCTGCCTGTCTATCTATCCTATCCTATCCTGTCCTGTCCTATCCAACCCTATCCTATCCTATCCTATCTTACCTTATCCTATCTTATCCAACCCTATCCTATTCTATCTATCTGTGAATCTATCTATCTGTCAAATTCACAGTACTCGTTCCTTTGGCCTTTCAGGTTGAGCGTATCGGTCGATCGCTGCCATCCTTCCTCAAAGGATCCTTTGCGTATGCCTTTACACACCGGTGCCATGTGAAAAGTGAGCCTGCTACTTGTGTTTTGACTTGAGGGTTGTGCCAAACCCGTTGTCGATCAGTTGGCGCCACAGCCTACTTTTGCATGTTGTCCCCCTCCTTTTTCGGTGACGAAGACCAGGACTCAGATCCTGCAGCAGTCGGTTCGGACCTGTGAGTGGGTTGATGATGAACCCAATATGCCGTTAGGGGCCACACTGAGCCGGCGATTGAGGATGAACACTTCACCCGGTTTTGTTTGCGATGGTTCCACTCAAGCCAGCTTCAACAAGACGACCTGTAGCTGGTCTTGAACCCGTAGCTTGGGTATCGTTCAGACCGCCTAACGAGGACTACTGTCCCTTCAGGAACTTGGCTATACATGCCCCAGCAGCAAGACTCTGGAAGTCACCAGTCCAGAAGAAGGAGACGAAATCGCCGTCCTGTCCGAGGTCTTGACAAATGATCCCGTCATTGACCCTGGTCCGGCGTCGCCGCCCGTAGACATCCCCGATTTTGAGGTTCTCCAAAGGCATCGGTGTACGCAAGACCACCATGAGGCTGATCCACCAGCCAACCCTTTCATCGAACCAGAGGACCCCAAGATCTTGAGAGTGGTGAAGAAGCTTTTGAACATGTGAGCACCAAGCGCTCAGATGGCTCACAGAACAGAGGCAAGGATAACTGGAGCTCCATGTTTAGCCGTTTAGCTCGAAGCCCAGGCCCCCGCCACCCGTGTGGCGCTATGAGAAGGACGTCGCCCGTGCTTGGTCGAATGGAGGCTTCATGATTCTTTCACTATACACTTCCCTTCAAGGGGAGGTTTCTCGGGCGAGACCATGAGAAACTACATCCTTTGCGCTTCAGGAGAACGCGGCGTTGCTTGAAGGGCGTTGGCGTTGAAGTGAGCGGCTTGTTCGATCAAGAAGCTCTCGGGACTTTCGTCAGAAGCCCAGAGGAGGCATCCTCATCGGACAGAGCTTGAGAGCTTTGAGACTTGAGGGAGTTGCTGGGGCCTTAGTTCCAGTACCCGGACAACAAACCTGGCAACAGCGTCCAGGAACGCAAGCGCAACTCAAACTGTGCCGTGCGCCGACAAAAGGGCGTTGGCGAGGAGATGATGTTCGCGCGGCTGCAGAGAAGACAGCCTTCTCACACCTCGGCTTCAACCGCCTACCGTCCAGTCGGGAGGGAGCCAAGCAATCCCTTCTCATCCACCACAACAACGGTTCCATGACCTGTGCAGAACACCTCAATCGCCTCACCACCAAAGAAAGAGATCCAGTTCCAGGTTGGGAAGGGTTCACCGACAGTGGCTGAAATGCCCAAGGCTATCCCACTGCTTGGGAGCAACCGCCTGGAACGGCTTAGCGCCGTCGTCGGCGCTCCCTCTATATGCAGGTGCGCTTCAAATAGCTCGGAATTGCAGCTGAACTTGTGAAAGTTGGCGGTTACCTTGCAGTTGAGATTGTGAATTTTGTTTCGAGCGCACCTTCATCCATGTCATGTTGGAGTTCATTTGAGTGCGCCGTGTTTTGGAAGCTTCCAGACGCTGGGCGCATGTTTTTCAATTGATGTGAGACGTCGGCCTCCAGCATGGCTTTACCGTTGGAGCTTTCTCACCACGGCCCTTCTGAACTTTGCCAGGAACCTCATCCTACACACTGCTCAAGGCCACAAAGTGGCTCCTGATGATGATGGAGAGAGCTGCAGCCACCATTGCCAGACGACGAGGACCTCGACCGACGGGGCGCCTATAAGGCGGCCGAAAGGCCAACCCAACCAGCGCGTCAAGGAGCTGGAAGCTGAATGTGAAGCCATAGAGCAATGATTACAGTCTCAGATCATTGCACCTTTTGCAGGAGGTCAATCAAGAGATGGTGAAGGCTCAGACCACGGCTCACTATGATCGGTCTGGATTGCAGATTTTTAATTCCATCTTCAACCACAACCTCAACTTCTCATGACCTCCAAAGGTCCACTGCGAGATCTGGCCATTGAACTGGCCTATGACCAGACTAACCGTGACAGGTATTTCGCCCATTCGCAACTATGAGGGAAGCGCAGCAACCAGCGCCGCAGACTGACTGCGGCGGCTCTCCCGCCCGATATATCGTTCCCATGACTCCCCTTGATAGCGCACCGTGAAACTTCGTGAGGGTTTCTCACCGTGGTTGCAACAACCATACCCAACCCTGAAAGACCAAACAAAGAAAGACCAGTGTCAAATTCGCGGTGCTCGTTCCTTTGGCCTTTCGGGTTGAGCGTTTCGGCCGATCGCTGCCATCCTTCCTCAACAGACCCTTCTATCTATTATCTATCTACCTATCTATCTATCTATCTATCCACCTACCTATCTATCTATCTATCCATCCATCTACCTATCGGTCTTCTCTTCCTTGCTTTCTGGTGTCTTTCTTTTCTTTTTTTGTTCTTTTTCTTTTCTTGTATTTTGCTTCATTTTCATTTCCTTTCTTTGTTCCTTTCCTTTCCTTAGATTTCTTCTTTCTCCTTTCTCCTTTCCTTTCCTTTCTCCTTTCTCCTTCCCCCTGTCTCCTTTCCTTTCCTTTCTGCTTCCTTTTTCCTGTCCTCTCCATTTCCTTGCTCCTTTCTTCTTTCCTTTCTTTCTGTCCTTCTTTCTTTCTGTCTGTCTGTCTGTTTTTGTCTTTCTGCTTTCTGTCTTGTTTGTCTGTCTGTCTGTCTGTCTGTCTTTCTTTCTTTCTTTCTGTCTCTCCCTCTCTCTCTCTCTCTCTTTCTCTCTCTCTCTCTATCTCTTTCTTTCTCCGTCTCTCTGTCTCTCTTTCTCTTTCTCTTTCTTTTTTCTTTTGCGCTCTCACTCTCTTTTCTTTCTTTGTATATATGTTTTTCTCTTTATCCTTTTCTTGTTGCGTATTTTTTCTTTCTTAGGCCGGGGCTGGCGCCGACGAGTCACCACGAAACGCAACTCTATCACGACGCGAGTGTGAAGTGTCCAAAACTGAGAGAATTTGTGATGTCGCCGGGAACCCTCTCGCATGAAATGCTTGTCAAGCGTCCAAAAAAGACGGAGAGGATATAGCGATTTCAAAGTCTCAGCGGCAACCTTCTCGCTGGAAATGTGTGTCCAGTGTCAAAAGCTGAGGGAATATTGCGATATATTGCGATTTTGATGTGCCCGCGGCAGAATTGCATGTGACTTCATCATTCTTCTGTGTTTGTAAAATTTTGCACACACAGTAGCAAAACATCAACTTCAAGACCTTTTTGGGACTGGACCTGGGCCCGCACTTTATACATTACACTGCAAACCCACATGTATAGACCTGCATAAACATCACCTTGAACACATCTTTGGCCAACCCCGGAAAAACCTGAATCCACACATTCTCCCGGAACAACCAACACGCGCAAACCTGCATGAACATGGACAAGAAGGCATCTTTGGGGCAGGACCTGGACCACAAATTTTGTATCCTCTGGCAGGGCCAAAGCCGGTAAGCGAAAACGTCCCCACGGTCACAGATTAAGAAGCGGGAACCTCGACTTTTCCATATACGGCTGTGACACTGCGCGAAGAACCCTCCGATTCCTTTCCCAACCGTCACGGACGGTCACGGCGACGTTCACGGTAACCAACTAAGACCTCAAGATTGCACTTGTGCAGCCCTCACAGTGCGCACAGGATTGTCCAATTCCCTTCCCCACTATCACAGACGGCCAAACTGCAACTGTATCACCCTTGCCAGCCCTGACAGTGGGGCAATGATCCGCTCTGACAGGTAGTGCAGATACTTGTGCATGGTATGTATTTCTGGGGAGATCACCAGTGAATGAATGTTCGCAAAAAATCTGTGAACTCTGAAAGTTCCGCGAATGTGTCGTTGGAGTCCCCGTCACCAAACTTGATTCCGCCCCATTACCCCAGCTACCTTACCTTATTTGGGTAGCGGTTTGAGTTGTGCATGACTGAGTTCCGAACCTCCTCACAAGATATTCCTCAAGGCCTCAAGGTCTGTCGCGCATATGCTGCAACTCAGCCTAGGGTAGCTATAGAAACTCTCAACCTTGTGTGTAGATCATGCTGCAATATGCTAGTTTGTAGTTAGTTTTCCCTTCTTCATACTGGAGTTAAAATAGATGTCCGCTGGACATGCTCTTAGGAACATGCTTCGCGGCGGTCGCGACAAGTCCGCAATCTTTTCTCTCAACAGTTTGCTGTTGGGATTCTTTCTTTAGCCGTGACCCTTGCTTCACCGCCTGGTAAGGGTCTGTGTTTCCATGCTTGCCGCCTGTGGGCCCCTTTTTCTCCACCTTGGGTGCCGTGGGCCCTTTTTGATTACATGCTGTTCCCAAACAGCTGGAGGCCATAAGAACATAAGGGCACACAAGTGGGCACATGTTTCCACCAAGATTCTGGAGTTGATGGAACTGATGCAAAAAAACACCCTGCTGAAATAGTCCATGCTGGTATAATTGTGCGATGAATGGCCGTTCCATCATGAAAGGATTATTGATCAACCACCATATACATACAATACACAATGTATCAAATATATAAAGGTGACGTGCTTCACTTTAATTGGACGAGGTGGCCCCACCTTTGTTGTCACAACTTGTGCAACTTTAAGGACTGGACGCCGCACAGCCCCTTTGACAAGTAGTATATATATATACAGATACAGAAAGAAACAGATGACAGGTTGGGATAAAATTGCATAGTTTTTTTTTGTTTTTTTTAACGGCACATCCTCACACACCCATGGACATTGGGCTCTGTGTTGTATCAGCCCTCACAGTTTTGGGCAAGGCAAACATGGTGGTGTAATTCTAAATGCGAACAACAATAATCCTGGGTGCTTTGGCCATATTTCCTCAACCGAAGGCAAGAAACTCGTTAGACATCAGAATAGAAACTACTAGAAACAGATCAGTTGAAGTCAACATGGGCCACAGCTGAATTGTCGCTCTCCGAGAAGTCTGGGGATTGTCAAGTGCCCAAACAGTCATCCCTGCATGTTGATGGTTTCAGCCACCAGATGGGAGGTATTGACGTGACATTCATGTGAGCATGAAGATCACGTCGGCGCTAGATGTCGCCAGTTTCCGAAACTCACATTTCCAGTTTCCAAGCGCAAGTTTCTAAACCCAGCCCCACGCTTCTACTTTCCGAACCCAACGTTCCCAGTTTCCGAACCCCACGCTTCTCATGTAAGCATGCGGGCTGCGGGCGCCCAAGTTAGGGGGGACATTTCGGCCTGGAATTTGAACAGGAACTCACTGCCTGGTAGGCAAGCTGGGATGCTCCTGAGCCTCTTGGTACTCTTGCAGCTGCCTTAGCCATTTTGCATCTGGTTTTTGATTTGCACTCACCAACACTTGCATTGAACCTTCGTCAATGAGTTAAAAGACTTGTGAAAAATCCTTCATGAGTCAGCTTTCATTTGCATAGAGGGTTCAATTGACGGCGGCAAGCACTTTGTTGTCAGGACATGGCGCACTTTCCTAGAGCCGCCCATACTTCCAAATGCCAACAGGCCAGATATAATAACGACCAAACCAAACCGTCTTCGCTTGTTCTCTGAGCGCCTCTTGCTCATTTGGGAAGGTCATGACCAACACTTTGTTGAGAACGTCGCAGTCGTTTCCATGTATACAGATGTTTTCCTTTCTTGCAAATTCTACAAAGCTGCATTTAAGATGCCGCTTGCCGCCAAACCACACAGAGTTTGTGCATGCCTTTTTTGGCAGTTCCCGAATGGGACCTCGCAAAATTCAAATCAAGTGTCAGGCTGTACCCTGCACTACACATACGTGCATGTTCATCGGATAGTGAGTGGGAGCTCTTGGAATGAGTGTTTTCTGTCAGACCAAAAGTACAAATGGATCCATTCTGCGGTACTGTACCAGGTGTACCACCTTGACCTCTCAACATTTGTTCAGGTTTCACCTGGCAAACATGATTGCATTTGGCGTCCGTGTTTGTGCTCAAGTAGTGAAGGGAGCAGGGCAGAGGGTGTATTTTGAGTTAGGGCAGTCTAGACAGTAGACTCTAGACTTGTCGCAGGTACTCAAGAAAAATAGCAAGCTATTTTATCGCGAGTCAACAGTCCTTAGTCCTTTGAAGTGCATGCGCTGACGGACCACTTTGATTCTATGAGCCCTGGGCTGAGTTCAATCATGCAGCTGCAACTGCGGAGGATGACTGCAGCATGTACCCAGGTCAAAGTGAGCAGAGGCAAGCCGGGAGCGGGGCTGGAGCTTTTTGATTTGTAGAAAACATGCACAGAAGACAATGCTTTCAACACGCTCTTGTTAGCATCATTTGGGCATATTTTTGATACTGCATCATCGTTTATTTGATTCAGTGGCATTGCCTCTCAAGGCCCGATTTGATTCCATAGTCAGCACACTGTCAGACTTCTGGGCGTGTGTTTGCGTGTGCTGCGATTGACAGAATGTGATTTGTTCTTCTTTGTGGACGGATGTGAGTGTTGTGACAGCATTGTATTATCATGTTGTTGAGTCTTCACATGTTTTCACATAGGTTACGCTTGAGATCCAGACCTCGCTCCCGCTCTGATAGAAGGACCGTCAACTTTCCAATTCAGAATCCTTTATGCACGGACATGCAGTGTGAACAAAGTCGGATTCAGAAACTGCACTGTATTCAGAAACTGGTCTTCAGAAACTATTTCGTGGTATTCAGAAACTCTTGTATTCAGAAACTATTTCGTCGTATTCAGAAACTATTTCGTCATATTCAGAAACTATTTCGTCGTATTCAGAAACTACTGTCCCTCATGCTCAGAAACTTTTATTCCCAAACTGGGGGGCGATGTGAACAACCACCTGCGTGGTCAGTTGATGCGTTCTTTTGCATTCAGGGTGGGGTGGGGGGAGTGGGGCTGGGGCAGTAAGCTTCCGTAGATGGTTGCGCGGACCAATGCTTTCGTGGGTTAGGGTGGGGTTGGGGGGGAGGTGGGGGGGGTGGGGCTGGGGCAGTAAGCTTCCGCGCATTGTTGAGGCGGGTGGCGTTGTCGAGTTTCCGAATCCAAGCGGCCAGTTTCCGAATACAACCGTGGAGTTTCCGGCTAGCAGTTTCCTTTACAGCCGTCTAGTCTAGTTTCCGCATACCACCCTTCCAGTTTCTGAATACAACCGCCTCAGTTTCCGAATGCAAGTTTCCGAATACAACCGTGCAGTTTCTGAATCCCAGTTTCCGAATACAACCATTCCAGTTTCCGAACACAACCGCCGAGTTTCCGAATACAACCGTCGAGTTTCTGAATACAACCGCCGAGTTTCTGAATACAACCGCCGAGTTTCCGAATACAACCGTGACCCATGCAGTGATCCACAAGTGACTGCTAGTGGTACCGCGCAGGATTTGCATTTTTCGGTTTCCTCTTCTATTCTATTCCATTCCACTAGTGTATATGTATATATATATTATATATGCTGGAACGTTACTAAATGCATCATTGATATAATAAAGATAAGCTAAAATATTTTCCATTTTCATTAGTTCTTGTGTTAGCAATATTTTTCGCACAGCTACTATCAGCTACTCATTTTTTGTAATGCTATTAGATTTACGATGACGGCGCATATAGAAAACAACTATCACGTTTTGGTGTGAAGATCTCGTTCTTTGATAAATAGATTCTGCAATTGTAGCTGGTAAATCTATTTGTTTAACCCGTACATCAATAACATCTGAGCTTGCTGCTGAACACTATTAGTTAAAGCTATCAGTAGCTTATCACCATAGGTATTTTTTAACATCAGCTTTCTATGTTTACTATCAAATCGCATTCTTTTATTCCAACTATTCTTTCCTTCAGTACACAGTAGGTCTAAATTGCTCATTATACATTACATGTTTGCTCTTTATTGTACGTGCTCGCCCTGGATGCCTTCTTTTGCAAGCTGAAAACGTCTGTTAGGTGTGTACGCTTCTAGTTTTGTGTGTTTCATCCTTTGCGGACCAGCACTCCTCCCTGCTCCCTCTTGGAGCAGCTCTAGAAAACACGCCTTGCAGGCTCAAGCCGTTCTGGTGTGATTTCTGCACGCCTTGCACTCCCTCACTTCGGTCATGGCTGCCAGAACTGCTACGCACCGAGCGTCCGTGTGCAAGGCGCTGTTCTCATCCTCATAGAGGAAGCTTGTGTTGTCGTACGACCTCTGTCGCTGAGTTCGCACCTGGCAGCATTGGCATAGCGCAGTCGCCTGCTTCTGTGATGCATGGCGAAGTCCTTGACAACGCGGTGTCCGATGGACCAAGCTTGCCACAGCACCATCTCCGGCCACTCGCATTGCGTTCGTGTAGGAGGTTCCTCTTCAGGTTCAGGTTGCCCTGGTCCTCGGCCTTGATGTCCTCATGATGCCCCAGCCGATGATGTCTTTTGCCCAGGCCTCACCACTTCGCTGGAAGAACTCGTGGCATTTCCCCTTTGAGCCTCCATGGATCTCAAAGACCTCGTTGAAGAAGATGTCGAAGTTCCGTCGGATGATGTTGATGGCCTCGTCATGGATGTAGTTCCTGTTTTGGGTTCCACCCGGAGCGCTCGTGCAGCGATGCTTGTCGGAGCCTCCCCCTGAATGACCTTCATGAATCCCCCGTGATTGATGGCTTATAAAATGTAGATCCTTTTCTCTTACAAAATGCAAATTCCAAGACGCATTTTATAAACATGAGGGTTTGTATTTTTTAAGGATAACTACATAAGATCTGGAGTATCGATGTACATAGGTCGTTTAATAAACTTTACTAACTTGGACACTGAATGACAGTAATAGAGGGCAGGATTATAAGAATTCACTTGTCGAGTTGTCGGAGGGAAAAACAGGTCTGATCTCAAGAGCTAAACAGAAGCAACCATCTTTAGCAGAAAAACGAAGTCTATAAAATCAAAAACATTGTCCAGGTCAATTTATTTGCATTAAAGCATATAACCTAATTTAACCGACAGCCAATATTATGTACATATAACAAAAATAACATATCAACAATACAAACCATACATACTAATCAATATATGTATTTATTTATTGATAAAATATGTTGTGCTTTTATACACAGCTATGCAAAGTACATCAGCTAATACAGATTCAGATTCGGTTTTTTAAGACTCTGAATCATTTCCTCTTTAGTAATGATTCAGATTCTGAGTTTTCAGATTCTGAAGTTGGCAACCTGCTCAGAAGCAGTCGCCTGTGCAGCTACCCTCCTGGCAAAACACACAAATTTCAAAAAAGACTGTACTCCAAGAATTAGTGATTACATGTGATTTTAGAAAGCAAAGCTGATGTTTATAAAATGGGTTCCAGTGGAGACAACAAAATATTCCAACCGGTTGGTCAGGAATCCTCATTTTATAAACTCTGGACACTGGACACCCTCTGGAACCCCCAAGAAAAACCCACTACGAAGACGCAAGTCTCCTGCATCATCCTTGGGAACCTGCTCAGCAGCAGTCGCCCGTGCAGTTTCCCCTCCTGGCAAAACACGCAATGTTTTTTTGAAATTATCCTTGTCCATCAGTTGTGGGTTGACAGCCACAAAGTCCCAGAATTACTGATTACGAAAAACAAAGCTGATGTTTATAAAACTGATTCCAGTGGAAAAACAAAATATTCCAACCGGTTGGTCAGGAATAATCATTTTATAAACTCTGGAACCCCTGTGGAACCCTCAAGGAAACACCAACTATGAAGACGTCCTTGGCAACCTGCTCAGAAGCAGTCGCCTGTGCAGGGACCCCTCCTGGCAAAACACACAAATTTTCAAAAAAGACTCTACTCCAAGAATTAGTGATTACATGTGATTACAAAAAACAAAGCTGATGTTTATAAAATGGATTCCAGTGGAAAAAACAAAATATTCCAACCGGTTGGTCAGGAATCATCATTTTATAAACTCTGGAACCCCTCTGGAACCCGCAAGTCCAATTCAACGCAGGGAGACCCGAGCGAAGGACCCCGCGGTTCGCCGTGGAGGTGCCATCCCTCACCGTGGTGCACCGATGTGCGCCGCGTCCCTCCCCGGTAAGGGAATAGACACAGAGAAGGGGGAGAGAAAAAGTGCAGAAAAAGTAGCTAGTTAATTGTCAATTGTTAGTTATTTGGCATCTTGAGATCTTGACATACGAATGTTCATTTAATAAAGGCTACGGATTTGGCATCTTACGGACATTTCCGATTCGCAATTCGCATTTCATGTTGATATCTATCTTAACCTACCATAACCTGTGCTGGTAATTTATGAACTAGCTGGTTTTTCATTTTATAAACCAAAAGACCTATCCCACACATCTTATCAACCCCCGCAGCTTATACAATGAAAAATCGACGCCCCTATGAACAATCACGGGGGATCTTCATGAGCGCTATCCCCAGCAACATCATACTAGTGACACCGAAGAGGTTCAGTAGGTGATCACCCTCCACACACACCCTCCACAACTTCCAAGTTTGCTGCATGGATTCTCTGCATATAGCAATCAACACCGCAACCAAGCGAGCCGCCTGCTCGCCTTCTGCACGTAACGCTTCAACCACAGCTTCTTGACCTCCTCTGGCTGGAGACCTTCAAGATCTTGAGCGTTGCCTCGTGACGGTTGCCAGCCCATGCTCACGGCTCGCGCCAAACCTTGTGGTCCAATGTCCACCACCTAATCTCGTCCTCCCAAGCCCCAGCGTGGAGCTTCCAACGCTCTCGCCCAAAATCAGAAATTCAATCGCCTCGATCATTTCGGCTTCTGCCGTGAGACAGCTGGGAAAGGTTGCTTGGATGTGTGCCCCCCACAGACGGTGAAGTCTGCTTCTTCCGGTACCGTATACTTGATGGGCTGATTCCAGTGCCCACTT